TTTGAGTTTTTAACTCACCCTTATTTAGTGTTTTATAATATTAATAAAAGAATTAGTTTATGTTTATATTTTAAAATACATGATTATTAAATAACAATATAAATAAAAATGTGTCGCATATGCATTTAAAGAAAATCATAAATATAAGTATATTTGGTATAATAATATTTAAAAAAATCATGTTATAATATATAATGAAATAATCATAATATTAATAATTGAATAATTATATAATTATTTCAAGTAATAACTTTGTATATTTTTTGTGGACATAATTTTATCAATTTTATATTATAGGAAAAGAATATGCAGACTTCGGGACCGTTTGAGGCAGCTTATTTGGTGCGGTGGCGTTTTGAAAACGCACCTGACATATTTAGGTAAATTGCGTTTTGACATCTTATGCGTTTTCAAAACGCAGAAAATAACGTTTTCACACCGCACCTATCTAGGTGCGGTGGGAGCTTATTGGCAACAGTCCGACTTTTCCAAAAAAATGAAAATTTGTAATAGCCACCACACCTAGCTTATCAGTAAATTATTTTTAATCAGCTTCAACCAACCAACCACCACTCATTTTGCATCATGACTTAGCCTAAACCTCCAAAAGCCCATAACAAAATCATACTGATATCCTCTCACTTTCGCTTAGGAATAGTCAAAGGTTGTTATAAATAACTGTCTCTAATGCTCCACTTTCACCATCTAACAAGTCACGTTTTGAAATAAACTCTATCACCTCACGCTTAAACCCAAGTCATTAAAATATCAAGTTCAAATCATGTTACATCTTACTAGTTACTACTACCTGGGTGAATTATATATCCTGAATAACGATTCTCATAGTTTCTCTCCTCTCAAATCATCATTAGCATAGTTAGCATAGTTATCATAGTATTTCTCTTCTTAGATCACCGTTAGCAGGAACCCAAAGTCGACATCATAACAATCCACATGTAGCTTAAGTCTCATTCTTGAATGAATCTGATCATCCAATTTGACATACTCATCTTCTAACTTCCGAGCTTCCTTAATTCTCCCTTACAAAAAAAGCTTGAACAGTTATCTGTGAAATTATTGCATCCATATCAGCAAAATGAATAATTTCTAACTCAAATTTCTCTATCTCTTGAATTAGTGTCTTATCAGATTTAATCATATAAGCTACCACACGAATGGAATTACCACTCAAAGCAACAATTAACATATTAGCCTTACCAGGTTGATATATAATGCTAAGCTTATAGTCCTTGACCAGCTCTAATGATCTCCTCTATCTCAATTTCAGAGGTAGATGAGCCTTTAAGCTGGTAAAAAAATTATTAATCTTGAGCAAAAAATTATTGTTCTTGATGATCACTTCATTCAACTCTCTATAATTGATACAAATATTTTTTCCTCACAAACAAGACATGTGAGCCCAAGGGAGATTCATTTGGCCTAATAAAACACCTATCAAATAAATCCCTCAATTACACCTTCAACTATTGCAATTTTTCTTTTTTTTCATTTTATAAGAGCGTTTGCAATAAAAGATGTATCAAACATATTCATTTGGCCTAATAAAACACCTATCAAATAAATGCCTCAATTACACCAGTTTCTTTTTTTCAACTATTGCAATTTTTTTTTTTTTTTTTTTTTCATTTTATAAGGAGCATTTGCAATAAAAGATGTGTCAAACACAATCTCAATACAAAACTCCACTTCTCTCTCTAGTGATAAACTCATCAACTTTCAGGAAACATATCTAGAAACACTTACACAATGATCAAAAGGATTCATGTCATGATTTTTTCGACAAGTTTTACGCTGGCTGTCGACTACCTAACGCAACCCTCCACTTTTCTCATCCGGGCTTGGGACCGGCAACGGCAGTGTTAATACAGTCAATGTAATATATAAAATATTTCATCACTAATATATAAAACCACTCTCATTTGACTACAGTCAATGTAAGATTCATATTTACTCAAACAATCCATACTTAAGATAACATCAAACTCAGTTGAATGTAGCACAATTAGCTCAAACTCTAATTTTTTTATCCAAAATTTTAGTATCACAGCTATAAGCTTGTTAGCAATTAAATAATATCTTTGGTTAAAATGTTAAATAAATCAGAAGCTAAAACAACATGAAGTATATTGAAAAAAGTAGAAATTCTTTTAGATATAAATCTATAACTAGCTTCAGAATCAAATAAAATTCTACATGGCTATTCAGAAATGAATATTGTACATGTCAGAACTTCTAATGATTGCTTAGCTTTTTGCTGAGTAAAATGGTAAACATAGGTTGAGTTGAACCGTAGCAACTATTACAATAAACTCTCCAACTCTCTCTAGCTTGCATTTTTGGTAAATCTTACATGGCCTGTACTAGATGATCTTTCATTAAAACTTCTTAGTGGGATTGTTATTTGTTATTTTTTATTTATAATCCTCGCTGATCTACTCGAGCATTTGATATACTCTCAAATGCCCCTACAAACACCGTGCCATCTTATGGCCAAATTGGCCACACTTGAAACACTCCCCAGAAAATAAATAACACCGACTGCGATGCTCTTTCCACATAAAGTACAAACTATAGCACTGAAGCACCTTAAAATATGCATTTATACTCATTTTTTAAGGATAGTGTGCTTTAATGAAAGATATTTTATGTGTTTTTGGTTACAGGTACAAAAGATGGACTTAAAGAGCAAAAAGAAGCAAAATCGGAGCTAAAAGAAGTCAAATTGAGCAAGATGGAAAAAATTGGCCTGGCACCTAGACGCTATGTAGTTAAAACGAGCTTCTAAAAGGCTGGTGCCTAGGCACCACGGTTGGGCGCCTAGGCTCCAAAATCAGTTATGAACTTGTGACATTGAATTTGAACGAATTTTAAAAAGGTGCCTGAAATGACTCTTGGTAATTCTGAGAGCTTTATTTAATGAGCCATTGGCCGGATGAAAAAATGTGTTATTGGTGTTGAGTCTTTTGTGAGTCTTTAGAGAGTGGTGTGAGGCCCACTTAGGTGTGTGTGAGAGAGTATTGTCTGTTCTTGTGTGTTCTTTGGAGGATGAATATAACAAATGAACTTCAAAGGATTTGCTTGGAGAGAAGTCTAAAGATAAGTATTTGTATTTTTGGTTAAATTGTGTTTTAGTGTGAAAACTTGAAGTTTAATATAAATCATGTTTTATTGTGTTATCCCCATGAATTCTGAGTAGTTTCCTTTATCTTTCTCCTTGTAATAAGTAGTAATCATGTGTAGGATTAAAAGTGTAAGATTTCTCTTATTCCATACTTGTGATGATTCACTACTTCATTCTTAATCTACATTTTCGATCTCGCAAATTGAAATATTAAAATATATTGTGAATCCATAATGAACCAGAAGGGCTATATGTTGTTCAACTAGTAATAATCACATCAATTCTATGGGTGAGAAGATAATCCATGGGTTTATGCAAATAGATAGAGAGACAAATTTTGATGGACGTAGGATTGGTGATTCTATGGCGACAGGCTAGAATCTTAACCAATTCGTTCTTTAGTTTGGAACCTAAGGAACGACTAGTCCTATAGAGAGAGCACAGTGGGTAATCTGGAAATAAGCATAACCTGAAGAATTAAGAACTTAAAGTCCTATAGAGAGAGCACAGTGGGTAATCTGGAAATGAGCATAACCTGAAGAATTAAGAACTTAACTTTAGATTAGTCAATGTTCTTTATGCGCTCGGAAGAGGGTAAGAAATATGTATGCTCATATTTGTCACAAAACTACATTTTAACCTTTAAACATTTGCCTTATTTGAGTTCAGTTGATTGAGGCGACCGATCGAGTGGAGACTATGCCTTCCAAAGTGCGTGTCGATCAGTCAATGCCCTCAAACTTATGACGATCTCACTCGTCACAAATCAGTCGGCCAACTGTGGTCGGGTGCTCCTATACACACTTCAAGCGGTCGGGGTTGCAATCATGAACTGCTGGTCGAACCCTTTGTAATAGCGTGTCAGCTAATCCTAATAACGCGACCAGTCGTTGACTGGTCGGATGCTTCGATCGTGCGATCATTACTTAGACCGTCAAGTAGCTTTGAGATTCATGCTGATATTTTTGATGTATACACTTCCCATAATTTAGTGGAAATTATTCTATATGAAAAATTTAAGAGTTGGTGAAATTTTACATGCCATAATTTTTATAATATTAAAGTAAAAAACAATTTCACCTTACACTAAAAAATTAGAGTATAAAAAAAAATCTAATTTAGTAAAGAATAGTAATTCACCAATCACTCTTAGGGTCTCTTTGGAGTAACTACAACTGTTTGAAGAAGCAGTTGTAAAACTATTGTTAAAAAAGTTGCAGTGGTTATTACAAAATTTTTTTTTCCTTGGAAAAAATCATACTGTAGCTTTCTAGCAATCACCGCAGGAAGCCAGATTTGGAGGGAGAACATAGCTTTTAGCTGTTGCTTTTTGAGAAAGTAGGCAAAATATAATTTTACCAAACAGAAAAAAACTACAATGCAACACCACATTGCCACCGCATTGCGGCCTCAAACACATCCTTAGTAAATGTACAAACAAATAACTTGGAAAAAATCAAACAAATATCCTAGTGGCTACCCAAAAAAGAGGGCATTTAAATAGAAACCACCCAATTCTTATGTATTTGTACATCTAAAACCTAAAATTTATTTTTTACATCTACAGCACAAAGCTTTCATGTAATTAAAAATACCACGATTTTAACTTTTAAAAAGTGATGCAACTTTTCGTAATAGGTAAGGCTGTATGTATGTAAAAATTGAAGTTCAGGTGTTAGATAAGTAAATACATAGATATTGAGTGATATGAATGTTGGTGGATTTGATGTAAAACCTCCAACAAAAAAAAAAAATAAATAAATAAAAATTTTCTCAAACACATTAATTTCTAAAGCTCTGAACAAGGCATTGAAAAACAAAACAAAAGCAGACACAGATAACATCTAAGAAAAAAAAATATAATACAGCATTGTCCAATATCTCAGTATTATTTATAAAAAGGCAAGCAGAATTGAAAATCTACAACATCACATAGAAATACATAACCATACAATAAATCTCAACTAACAGTGTTGAGACTAATTAGTTTATTATAGCACATAATTGAGCAAAAGGAAACCAAATGCAGTTTTCCTAGCTGTTCATAATAACTCTCTTTAAACCGGAAGGGCTTACCGTTGAGTTCAAGCATTGGCCGTGTTGAAGAGAGAAGAGGCATCACTGTAAATGGCAATTCCATTTGATAACACAGCAAGCACAATCATTAGAACAGATAGAAGTTTGTCCCTCAAAGTTGCAATGCCATGTGGATCCCTAGAAAAACAAAAATAAACATAACAATTATATATTTATTAAGAAAAAGATTCAACTTCATCTTGTGAAGATTTTAATAAGAAGAAATTTGGCAGCACAATTCTTACAACCATCTAGCTTGCCAATGTTTTTGATGGCTAAGTAATGTCATAACTATCGTTTACTATTTCATCAATTTAAACAGCATAGCATGCTTGATGATATTGAATCAAACACTACCTTTCATAAATGAAACTTAGGGGGTTGTTTGGCTATAGGAAGGATTTAAAGTTAGCAAGATTTAATAAATCTGAATTTATTAAATCCACCTCCTCGTTGGATATATCAAATCCGGATTTAACATCAATTGAAGACAAAATTCGGATCCTAAATTTGAAATTTCATAAATACATAGAACTTGTGTTTTTTAAGGTTTAGTTGGATTTACTAAATCCAAAATCCAAACGATAAATCTTATTAATATGGTGCTATCAAACAAACCTTATTCTAACACTAAATTCAACTAAATTCATGAAAGCTCTAACTCTCAACTAATATGATATGCAAAATAAATTTCAGATGGTTAAAAATGTGCAATTATGACTCACCTAATCGTCATTGCAGCAGGAAAGATGAATCCAATGCAAACCGCAGCAGTGGCGCCGGTGAATTGGAAGGCATCCCAGATGCTCGGAACAAAGTTTGCAGCTAAGAACACGAGTGAAAGAAGCGTAACAGAAATCACTGTGAACCTGAAACTATCAGTAGATAAAGGCCTTGCATTGGGAAAGAGAAGACCATCCAAGTTGAGCCTCAAAGCATGGAATATCATGGGGAATACAAGCATAAGGTGTACAGCATAGCTGACGCGAACAACATCATTAAGAACAGCGCTGTATGGTATGCCGAGGTTTTCGTCGAAATTGGCGAGCACATCATGAAGGGTTGATTCGCCAAAGAGAAGGTAACCGAAGAAGCTTGTGGCTATGTAAACAGTAGAGCAGAGTGCTAGTGATGTCCTCACAACTGGTTTTATCTGGGAGGAGTCTTCGAGTTCATTGTCTATGCTGTGAACTGCATTGTACCATTAATTTTCAGAGAGTCATTGTACGTTCACAGTTCCGAATCAAGCATGAGATAAGGAGAATGTTGAAGAAAATGAAGAAAGTAAGGAGAAAAGAAAATAATGAAAAGAAAAAATACTGAATAAACACCTGTGGGTGCAGACGAGCTGAGCTTGAGCGAGCCCAATGTTAGGTTCGTGTTCTGCTTGTTCGAAATTTTTTTGGCTCAAAATAGGCTCGTGTTCGAAATGGCTAGTGAATAAAATATTCATATTCAATTCGATTCAAATTCATTTGTTTGTTTCAAACTGTGTTTGGCTCAAAATTTGCTCAAACTATTTAAAAATAATAAAAACTAACTTTTTTAAATAAACATAGCATAAAAATTTATAATAATAATAATAATAATAATAATAATTTATTTAATTATTTTGAGCCAAAATAAACTCAAAAAAATTGTTCGTGTCTGTCTTGTTAGCTTAACGAACTAATCAAATCGAGAAACCCAACAAGCCAAACACTAGTTGTTCGCGAATGACAAACATTTTTGACAGCCCTATATACACCGTATAATTTGTATACAATCACATTTTCTTTAAATTTGAACAGATACGAATTAATTTGATGGAGTATATCAGCTCATTTAACAGGTGATCTCTACTTATTCACTGTAATAAAATCCTCAAACACTTTCATGACACTCCAACTCACTCATTCCTCTTCCTCAAAGAGATTTAAGTACTGGCTCAAGCAATGCATAATGATGCAAGACTAACCAATTTTCATGAACATAATTTAGCTCAAAATTATTTCTCTTTACCAAGTTCATCATTATCATAAATCAAACAACATAAATCATACCATTGAAATGGCAGATAAAAGCTGTTACGAGAACTGGAACTGCGGTGAAGAGGTTCCAGACAGATGCGAGATTCGGTATCACAGGAAACAATTTTGGCATTGGTATGCTTCCATTCAGCAACTTTACAATAGCAATCCCAGCTGTAATCACAACAAAAACTACAGCAAGAGCAACAGACAAGGCAGACGTGTAGCTCAAAGAATCTGCAACAGAAAGGAGCATAACTCTCTTTATTAGCATTAATAAAACATTTTAAAACAATGACAGTGGTGCCAAGTATTAAAAAAAAACCAAACAAAATATTACACTCAACAAAAAGGAGGAGACTTGCCTACACGCTTGAAGCTTGCTAAAGGAGCAAATACTGCAAGAGTTGTTACAAGAAGAACAAAGAAACGCCCGGTCCACCAATGCTCACCAAACCACCCTTCAAAAACACCCGAGTGATGAACACCGTCGGAAGAAGTACCAGAAAGCACATCACCTTGCGATTAAGAGCAATAGAATTGTTAAAACAATGTGTACAATACATACATGCACAATAATGTGATAAAAGTAGTGGAATTTGAGGAAAATAAGAATGCTAGCAAGACAATGACAGGATATATCAATCAAGAAATAAGCACATGTCCCTTGCTGAATGATAGAAGTAAACTTATTGGAGAAAAGAGAAAAACAATGGAATCAGGATGTTTATCATTATTATTGTATGAAAATAAAAAATGATAAATTAATGTCATTAATTATAAGAAAAATGCTAAAAGGGTGTTATCATGAAATAACGTGGTAGAAAATCTTTTGAGCATTATTAGGTTGGAATCAGCACAAATAATACATCTGGATAAAAATCTATTATCAAATATTAAGTGACGGATGTCCAGTTACTTCTTCTAGCTATGAATAAATTTAAGATTAGCAATGGTTTGTTTAAACGGTTAAATTTGGACCAGTGCAGTCATATTTGCAGAACTAAGTATAATTGAAGAAAATTTAACTCATCTAAGTAATCACCTTAAGCAAACAAGTTTACAATCACCACGAGCCTTATTCCAAAAATTTAAGGTCAGCACAAAGAATAATCATTTTTCTTTCATTTATGTTGAACTCAACTGAAACTATTCTTTACAAAATGATTTGGAGAACAACTTTCAATGTAAGCTTCGGTTTGAACACATTTCCTTCATAGTACTTGGAAAATAATTTTATAATTCGTCCAACAACATATTTTTTATGCTTTGTTGTACATAGCCAAAGCCAGCTTATCTACAATATAAAGGTGCAAAGAAGTTTTTTGAGATGTGATAGCTTCACAAGCAATTCATAAAATAGCCAACGAGGAGGAAATTCAATGAAATCATTTGTTTGAATCACAAAAATTTGAAGAGCACGGCTATAAATCTATTTCTAGCTTGCAATTCTTCAAGATGATTGAGTACTTCTCATGAATAGAAAAGCCCAAGCAATCATAAATAGTCATATTTTAGGTGCACAATCAAAGTAAAGCAGCCAAAATAAGGTTCCATACCAATTATAATCATATAGACAATCATCACTCCAACATTATTTACAACCACACAAATCTGAAGCAGCATCCTCCCAAACTTTCCAAAAGAATCACCCATAACCCCGCCATAAGAAACTGACTTCCCAACTCTACTAAACCTGATCAACAACTCTATTGAAGCCTCAGCTAGGAATGCAAAAAACACAATCATAACTATTCCCGGCACCAAACCCAACACTTTCATAGTGGCTGGAAGAGACATGATTCCAGCGCCCACAATCGTGGTTGAGAGATTGAACACAGCACCGGGAAATGAAGCGCCATTAAATTCATTAAACTCTCCATTCTCATTCTTCAAGCTTGGCAGCAAGGGCGAGTTCTCTTCAACAACGTCCTTGCCCTTTCCCTTGCTCCTCACGTCCGAAAATACACTTGCAATTGTCATTATTAACTGTTTCAAAAAGCAATCTTTCACTAAAATTCAGGTACTAGTATGTAATACCAGTAACAGAAGATGAACCTGCAATCATGAAGCATACCAACAACACATAATCATTTAAAAATTCTTTTTTTATGATTCAAAATGAGAATTTGAAGCGGTATAAACAATAAACTATCACAGCTTCGGATACCTTGGCAGAATATCAATAAATTCAGGAGGGAAAACTAGATGCTACCAAACAAGAAGCATGCACCTGCAAACAAGAAGCATCCCAACAACACAGTGGAAAACAGTGTTTTACGATTCAAAATTGAAACTTGAAGCAGGATATATAATAAATTATCACAGCATCACAGCCTTACCAAAAAGACTTAAGGATTTGAGAAGGGAAAACCTGAATACATAAAGTTGGATACCAATAAGTATATCTGAACCTGAAAGCATGACGCAACACAGCAACAT